AAAAATGAGAAAAAGAAAAAAATACCTAAATTAGCACTATAAACTATTTCAAACACTATTGATTGTAATCCCCGGCAACGGCGCCAAAATTTTACGAGCTTGAAACATACACTTAAATATGCTCGCTAGTTGACTATAGTATAATATTATATCGTATCCACAGGGATTGCAGTTAAACAGAATTTTCGTAGTTTATAGTTCAATTGCTATCCAAGATGATCAACAATTGAGAATTCTATGACTTAAACTAAAATTAACTAAGAATCTAAACAATTGGTTACTGACAATCGACGCAAGTAATGAGCAAGAAGGTTATCAATTGGGAGAAGATATGGTTGATAGGATAGTTGAAAGACAAGTGTTTGGGATCTAACTCTAGATAGTTCACTTCTAATGTTCAAGTGAGTCTCTCGAATTCACTTGGTTATTAATTCAATTGTTTAATAGAAACTCCTCTCTCGATTAAGTTTTAAACTCACAAGATGAACCAATTTTAAGCACGTGAAGATATGCAAGAATTTGTAGTGGATTGGTCTTTAGGAGAACCTCTCTCGGTTATACTCCTAATTAGGTTTAATCAACAATTCTACTAGCCTCTTTCTATTACTAAGAAGAATTAATGAATTTAACCAACAAGATAGAATGCAAAAATATCACAAGTTATGCCTCTCTCGATTACATGAAGTAGTGAATATAGATGCAACGATTAAAACATCCAAACGATTTAATACATAAAACTAGAGTTACAATCCACAAACAAGAATCAATACACAAAATTCATCAAATCCTGAAGATAACTACTCCATAGATATGGAGTAATTCATCACAATTAAGTTTAAAGTAAAGAAAAACATAAAACAATCTAAACCCTTGTCTTGAGTTGGGATTGAATAATGGATTCCTTGTGCTCTTGCTTTTCCAACTTCTCCTTAGCCTCCTTAGGTCTTAGATATGTAAAAAATCTCAAAAATACCATTTTTCCATGTATATATATCAAGTAGGGTCGGGCCCAAGCGAAAACACTTTCTCCTACGCGAACTAGGACATTTTTCGGAGTTAGACGTGCGGCCGCGCACTTGGGCGCTCATTTTCACAAAGTTATGCCCCACATGCGCGCCCAATGCGTGATCGCGCACCTGGGTGGTGTTATGTTGGGCATTTGTGAAAATTTAAAATATAAAAGTTGTAGCCCTTTTAAATAGCTTTCCAACAATATATTATGGAGCCCAAACAAATTTTTGAGCAAAAAGTTATATGTATTTCTCTGGATAATGCGCAGTATGCCTGCTCAATTCTTCGTTTCGTTCTTAAAGTGCACTATCATCCGTTGATCCCCGAACACGATCCCACCTTAATCCTTGGGCTTTTACTCAGACTTCAAAGCTCCAGAATACATTCCATAATATCCATATAGCTCGAAATCACTCCTACAAGGCATAAAATACATAATTAGTGCAAAACACTGGCGATTAAAGCTCAAACTCAATTAAATGCAACAATTTAGAGTGCAATAAGCAACTAAAATACAAGATTATAGCCTACCATCTATACGCCCACGCGTCTGTCACCTAGTATGTGCGTCATGTAAACACCAAACACATATCACGTATATTTAGGGGTTCATACCCTCAGCACCAAGTTTAGAAGTGTTACTCACCTCGAACAAGCCAAATCCTATAACGAGCAAGCCAAACGATGATCCAAAAATGCCATCCCGCGCATTCCGACCTCCGAACTGCTCGAAACTAGCCAAAAGTAACTCAAGAACATCAAATAATGTCCAAGGAAACAATTCCAAATGATAAAGGTTGAATCTTTAATCAAAACTCCAAAGTCAACCAAAAAGTTAAACTCGGACCCGCACCTCGAAACCCGATGAAACTCACAAAATTTGACAAACTCATTCAATTACGAGTAAAATCATACTAGTTTCACTCAAATCTGACTCCAAATCGATCTTGAAAACTCAAAAATTCATTCTATGAAACTTTAGACAAAACCACTCAATTTTCTCTTAAAAATTCACAATCCAATTACCAAAAACGAAGATAGACTCACGAAATACAACCAAAACTGAGTAGAGAATATTTACCCCAATCCATATGGTAAAATCGTCTAAAACTCGCTAAATCTCGACGTCCCCAACTCTAAATATGGATAAATGGCTCAAAGGTCCGAAATGCCCAGGATTCCTTCTTCGCGATCGCGGACATCACTTCAGGATCGTGATGAACAAGTTCTTCAACAGCAATTTCTAAATTTTTTCCAGATAGCCTCGAGTATAATGGCCATAAAATTTTGTACAAAACTCCAAATGACAAATGGTTTAATTTTCTGAAAACTAGACATCAAGGGCCACAACTTTTATTTTTGGATCATCTTCAAATTTCTTATAGATTGCAAGATATAAGCTTCTAAAGTCAGTTTTGTGGAGCAAAAATTTCTCCTACGCGATCGCGAAAAGGCTTACGCGATCGCAATTCACAAGGCCCCAAACTGCAGTTTGCTATTCGCGAATGCGACCAAATGTTCGCGATCGCTATGCATACCTCTGTAGCCAAAAATCCGCAACTGAAAATGGCCTAAATATAGTTCGAAACCACCCCCGAAACTCACTCGAGCTCTCGGGGTTCCACGCTAAACATCCACACAAGTCTAGAAATATCATGTGAACTTGAATCAGACATCAACACGCATGAAATTTGAAGGGAGAACTCAAGAACTTTTAGAATTGCAACCAAGCGTTCGAATGCTATCAAACCAACTCCGAACGACCCCGAATGTTGCACACAAGCTCCAACTTATAATGCTGACCTACTCGATGTTTCAAATCTCACTTAAAAACATCAAACTCATAAATCGCACCTCAAATTGACTTAATGAAGTTAATGAACTTTCAAAATTCAAAACTAAGAGCGAAAAGCCTAAACACCTCGAATTGATCACAAATTTGGCACACAAGTCATAAATGACATAACGGACCTACTATAACTGCGGAATCGAAATCTGACCCTGATATCAATAAAGCCAAACCTCGGTCAAACCTATGAACATTTTCAAACCTTCAAACTTTTAACTTTCGTCAATTAGTGCCGAAACCTTCTAAAATTATCCAAATGCAAATCTGGGCATACGCCCGAGTCCAAAATCACCATCCGGACTTAACTAAATAATCAAAACTCCAATACGAGGTCGAATGCTAAAAAGTCAAACTTGGTTAACTCTTCCAACTTAAAGTTTCAACTATGAAATTCATTCTTCCAAACTAATTCTGAAATATCTGAAAACTAACGCCGACGTTTCACAAACGTCATAATACATCATATGAAACTTCTCAAGACTTCAAATAGCTGAACGGAATGCAAATGCTTAAAACGATCGATCAGATCGATCAGATCGTTACAATATAATATAGTATTATACAATACATTATGAAATATAATACATAGTAATCATCCAAACAAGTTATAAGACTAGTAAAATTTAAATGCATATACATAATCAGTAAATTAAGCAGTAAAAGTAAAAAAAACCGTACAATCTTCTCGCGATCCATCCACCAGAGGATTGAGCAGTAGGTATCAGAAAAGCACACCAACTCTTATAAGCTAAGGCAGGAAAAAACATATAATAATGATTTTATGACTTGTTTAAAGGCCTTTCTTACAGAGCCTGGCTTTTTCACAGAGCCTTTAGTTTATGGATTTCCGTATAGTTGTCAGTGACAAGAGCTGTCATAAAGATAGAATAGTTGCAGCAGCATAGCATAGCATATACATACAACAGAGAGCCTCAGTCATTATATTTGCACAGTAGTATACTCTCTAGAGGCTCTGTATCTATTGTGTGTGTCAGTGTGTGTGAATTAGTGAAAGAGAAAGGAGGAGAAAAGGAGAGGTGGCAGTAATATATTATGGTCTGAACCATTAGTTTTATTCATGTATAGAAGATTCTCCAACCAAATGGTGTCTAAAAAAATTACTCCTTCTGCTTCAAATTAGATAAGATATTTTTTTTGAGTGTGTTTCAAAATAAATAACATAATTCTAAAGGAAATATTTTAATTCTAAAGGAAATAACATAATATTTTTATCCTCGATGAGAAGTATTAATAACTACAAAAATATCATAGCCTCGTAATGTTTTTATCCCTTAAAATTTTAAGATCATAAGTTTCAAAAGTCTTTTTTTTCTTAAACTTCGTGCCGAGTCAAACTATCTCATCTAAATTGAAACAGAGGGAGAACATTTTAAATGCTCCAAATACACAGATAATTTTTAAAAAAATTTATACCAATTTACATGATCAAATTATGATTTATAAATAATTACTCCCTCTATTTTAATTTATGTGAACCTATTTCATTTTTAATCCGAGCCAAAAAGAATGACCTCTTTCCTTATTTGAAAATAATTTACCTTTATGCAATGAATTATAACCACACAAAATATTTGTCCTCATTTTACGCTACAAGTTCAAAAGTCTTCTCCCTTTTTTTAAATTTTATGCCCAATCAAATATGTTCACATAAATTGAAATGGATGGAGTATATCTAACCGTTCAATAGTAAAATTACAATTAAAAAAGTAAGATAAGCTAATTATTACTCACTCTGTCCCAATATTTATAGTGCACTATGACTAGGCAATGAGTTCAAGAAAAAAAAAGACTTTTTCAAATTTGCGATTTAAAATAAGTTATAGATATTTATATAGTTATAATTTTTTATTTAAATATATTATGAAAAATTTAAAATTATATTGTTGTAAAATATAAAAATATATCATTTTTTTTAATAAACTAAAACAAAAAATATATCACATAAATTAGGAAAGAATAAAAATACGATATATTGACAAATATTGCGTAATAAGATAAAAATCCATTGCACTAATGTTATATACAGATTAAATCTTTAATAAAAGTGATTATTCGTATAACAGTGAAAAATGTGGAGTAAAATTCAAACTGAGTTTACCTACTATTTCTACCCCAAAGAGCTCTTTCATTTACCAACAGCGCCTTTCCTTTTTGTTTTCTTCTCAAACACACACACTCTCTTTCTCTAGAGTTGGCTCTTTTTACTTATTCAGGATTATCTTTGCCGCCTTCGTCTACCGGTTTGTGTGAAGTCTTAGAAGACTAGTTTCTTTTTCTGTAGTGAAAAATGAGTAGAGCAAGAAGTGGATATCCATTTACAGCAACTCAGTGGCAAGAACTAGAGCATCAAGCTCTTATTTACAAGTACATGGCCTCTGGAATGCCTGTCCCTCCTGATCTTCTCTACACCATCCGAAGGAGCTTAGACTCTTCAAACCTCTTCCTCCACCAACCCCAACACAGTACACTCCTCTACTCCCCTTTCTTTCTCTATTTTATGCATAAATATCTACAAATATTGATATTTTGATGATGTTGGTTTTCAAAAGCTATGTATACATTTGAATAGTATTGTATATATTTGCAGTTGGATGGAACTGTATTCAGTTGGGATTTGGGAAGAAAATAGATCCAGAGCCAGGGAGGTGTAGAAGAACAGATGGGAAGAAATGGAGGTGTTCAAAAGAAGCCTATGCAGATTCCAAGTATTGTGAGAGACACATGCACAGAGGCAGAAACCGTTCAAGAAAGCCTGTGGAAGTAATGACAACAAGAACTACTACTACTACTACAACAACAATGCCCCCAACAGCAGTTCCCATCTCATCAATCAAGAACAACTCAAACAACTATTCTCCATCTACCCCAGCTTCTTTCCCTTATTCAAATGAACCCCAACACTCCTTTCTCTATCCACATTCTTCTTCCTCTAGACCCCCTGGCAATATCGGTTTGTCATCTCAAGACCAGACCAAGTTCCTCTTTTATTCTGGTGCTTATTCCAGGTTTGTATCTTGAATAACATTTCATTTTTATTGTTGTACCAACTAGATTGGAATTGATATAGCAACTGATTGATTGATTATTGATATTTTTGGGTGTAATATATAGAAGTGCATCTGGTTCAATAGATGATAGCAGTTGGGAACTGGCACCATTGACAATGGGTTCACCACTTGGCCATTCGAAACAGAGGACTTATTCTGCTTCACAAATTGGGGAGTCTTACTTACAACTGCAAAGCTTCAGTGAATCCTCAAAACAACAACAACAAAGACAAGATCAGTACAACTATTATGCACTGGGAAATGATGTCAAGGCTAATATGCATATGAAAATAGACACAGAAGATCATCAGCAACCCAAGAAAGTAATGCATCACTTCTTTGATGAACTGCCACCTGATCAACACAACAAAGACTCGTGGCTTGATTCCAAAACCCACCTCTCAATTTCAGTACCAGATTCTTCACATGACTTCTTCATCACCCATAATGGTAAGCATCAATATCTTTTTCCACATGACTTATTTACTTGCATTACTTTTTCTTCAGCATTTACATGCTTATTACTTTGACCATTAAAGTTGCACTTTGTTTTGCAGGGAAATAAATTGTGTGGAGCATAGGCCAAAGTAGTACTTAAATGCTGGTGGGGCGGTGCTTTCCATCTAAGCATTCTGTATGCATATGTACTGTGTTCTTAAACTGTTTTTCTTTTTCCTTCTTTTTTGTCCCGAGGACAAGAGCTATGATATGTGATATTGTGATTTCAAATTCTGTGGAGAACAAAAATTAGAGTAGAAAAACAGTTTTTAAAAAAATATTTTACTATCCACTAATTTTCAAGTCGTGCACCAATTAGTCCTTGAGAATTTCTTGGTATTTTTTTTCTTCTTGTTTATTATGTAAGAGTGTGGGGCTTGTAATCAGCATTAGAAGCACGCAGTGCTCTGGCTAACTGAGCAATTACATGTATTTGGCTGTCTGCATTGTATTCTTACACTATTAGCACTATTTCGTTTTATTGTATATGAATGGCTGAGCCAGGTATCTGGAGTTTTGCCACATGTTGGTACGCTCTATTCATTAGGGATGACATCTTGAATATTGGCTTTTTCTGTGGTTGCTTTCAGTGACTACTTTAAGTTATTGCTTACTATTGAATTAATGGACCCAGTTGATATTTTGGATTTTTTATAACCTTTTCGCTATGGTTTTCATAACGTAAAGCCTGATCACACATTTGGCTTCTTTCTTTTTACTCGTGTGCAATCTTAGGAAAGCGTAAATATAATATGTGGTCCTCTCTGGATTATATCCTCATGTGAATACTTCTGTTTGATACACATGCAAATGTTTCTGGCTGGAAAGAATCTCAAAGGTACTTACGATATAAGTTTGTCTAATGGACAAAATGTTATGGTCACCCCTAAGAAAGATTTAACCTTCAAGGAAGCTTGACCTATGTTTTAAAAATAGGTGATAATATTTTGTCGGAAAGCTCTTTTAATATTTTTTTTTAAAAATGAATATTAAAGAAAATTTAATGTTGAATCACATGCCATTAGAATAGTTTCTTTAACAAAAATAAGAAGTTCGGAAAGAAGCTATAGTGGATCTGCAGCAAATCGGAGCCTCTGTGGTATGGCAGCTTTATGACGGCCATTTTCATGTTAAATTTTTATCTAGAAATTTGTATATTAGTTTTCAAGTAGTTATGATCCAAATTCCACTAAAGATGTGAAAACGTCCAACGTCGTCATTAGGCAAGTTAACGGAGAACAATTTAAGTAATTATTCATTTTATATCTTTTGAAATCATAAGTTTTATTTAATAAAGAATTTAATGCATTTAAAATCATGAATACATACAATATTAGTAAGATATAAAATAAAAAGATGACAATATTAAGCCAAATCATAAACACCTACTAGGGTATCCCAAAAATCGATGTCACAAGTGCATGATCAACTACTAGGAAATACAATACCAATACAACATTTGTTAGGAATGTAAAATGGACAGGATAACATAAATGAATACTAAGGAGACTCCGTGTGCTGCGGATCGTAATATAGGATGTAACTTGCCGTAAAGTCCCTGCAATAGCCGCGCCTTTGCGTCCAAATGACCACCAGAAATGTATACTTGCACAATAAGTGCAGAAGTGTAGCATGAGTACGTAAATCAACGCGTGCTCAGTAAATATCTAGCCTAACCTTGAAAAAGTAGTGACGATAGCTCGATATTGACATTTACTAGTGGTCCAATAAATCAAATATAATAAAGTAGACAAGTAAGAAATATGATAAGTAAACATTGAGAACAGATATAGGCAAATCATACGGTTTAACGACTAAACAGTGAACACAAAGTACTCAAATACCGGATACCTCCTCAAATGAAACATGTAATGCTCAACACCAAATCAACGGGCATACCTCAAGTCAAGAAAACTCATGAGTACGCGGACTCCTTATCAAGTATTTTGTACAATTCTACCGAGGCGAGTGGCCCGATTTATAAGAGTAAAGGCACGAATTCCTGCCATTGCGTATAACCCGATCCCATAATAGTACCCCTGAGACGTTCAACCCGATCCCATATTCGTGTACACTACCGATGGTCGACCGACACGAACCATAAATGTATCTCAAAGTACTGTCGAGGCAAATGACTTGATCCAATACTGATACTGCTGAAGCGATCAGTCCAATCCCATAGGAATAGTGAAGACTTAAACGGGTCACAGGCCCAACTCATGAATATACCTGAGTTGTGTGATACAAGAAAACTTCCGGACAAATACATAAAATATGGGATAAATCAGTAATAGGAAGTGAATTCTCTACTTCTAATCAATTAGCTCTCCATATATCACGAATCATAAGTCTGATACTTTACACATGTTTAGTCTCAGGCAAAATATATATTAAAGCAATTAAACAGGCAAGAATAACTCAACAACAACAGCAACAACAACAACAATAATTATCCAGTATAATCCCACAAGTGGGATCTGGGGAGGGTAGGATATACGCAGCCTTACCCCTACCCTGGAAGGGCAGAGAGACTATTTCTGATAGATCTTCGGCTAAAGAAGGTGAAAGAAGTCCTGATAGCAAGTAATAGCAAGAGAAATAATTAGAAAACTAAATCGAAGATAGCAACAGAGAATATGAAAGAGGTACCGACAACAAGTAATAGCAAGACAATATATTTAGAAAACTAAACCCACGGCAACAAACAAGAATATGAATGACATACTTCTAGCAAACTACGAAATTACCGATGGCAAATGATAACGGAATAAGACATGCGAATATAACAAACTAAGGAAAAAAATGTACTGTACTAGCACTAATACTATCGAACTAGAGAAGACAAAGGGAAATGCGCGACTACCTACTAACCTTCTACCCTATTCTTCAACCTCCACACCCTTCTATCTAGGGTCATGTCCTCGGCTAGCTCAAGTTGTATCATGTCCCGCCTGATCACCTCTCCTCAAGACTTCTTTGGCCTACTTCTACCCCTTCTCTCACCTCCCAAGGCCAACCTCTCACATCTCCTGACTGGGGCATCTGTGCTTCTCCTCTTAACATGCCCGAACCATATCAACATCACCTCAACCATCTTTGCCTCTATAGGGGCCACTCCTACCTTGTCCCAAATAACTTCATTTCTAATTCTATCCAACCTAGTATTCCCACACATCCATCTCAACATCCTCACTTCTGTTGCTTTCATCTGCTGGACATGAGAGGTTTTGACTGGCCAACACTCTACCCCATACAACATAGTCGGTCTAACCACTACCTTGTATAACTTACCCTTAAGTCTCAGCGGCACATTCTTATCACACAAGACACTATAAGCGAGCCTCCACTTCATCCACCTGCTCCGATATGGTGTGCGATAGCCTCATATATCTCCCCATCCTTCTGAATTATAGACCTCAGATACTTGAAACCTTTCTCCTGGGAATGACTTGTGTATCGAGCCTCACATCCCCGTCCGCCTCCTGGTTAACACCGCTTAACTTGCACTCAACGTATTTTGTCTTGGTCTTGCTCAACTTGAAACCCTTAGTCCAGAGTATATCTCCAGACCTCCAACCTATCGTTAATGCCACCCCGCGTCTCATCAATCAGGACTATGTAATTTGCAAATAACAAGCACCAAGGCACCTCCCCTTGAATGTGTCACGTCAATAAATCCATCGCCAGGGAAAATAAAAACGGGCTAAGTATTGATCCCTGATGCAACCCCATCTCAACCGAAAAATAGTTAGAGTCTCCTCCTGCTGTCCTAACTCGTGTCTTAGCTCCATCATACATATCCTGAATCGCACTAATATACGCTACATGCACTCTTCCAGTTTCCAAACAGCTCCATAGAACCTCTCTCGGGACTTTGTTATAGGCTTTTTCCAGGTCAATGAATACCATATTCAAATCCTTCTTCACCACCCTATACTGCTCCACCAATCTCCTCACAATATGAATGGCCTCAGTGGTCGACCGTCCCATCATGAAACCAAACTGGTTCTCAGAAATGGACACACTTCTCCTTAACCTCCCTTCAATCACCCTCTACCACACTTTCATCGTATGGCTTAACAACTTGATACCCCTATAATTGTTGCAGTTTTTGACATCCCCCTTGTTCTTGTACAACGGGATCATCGTACTCCGCCTCCACGCTTCGATAATCTTCTTCGTCCTGAAAATGACGTTAAACAACCTAACAAGCCATTCCAAGCTCTCCTTACCCACTCTCCTCCAGAATTCTACCGGGATCTCGTCTGGCCCAGTCGCTCTACCCCTATTCATCCTGCGCATAGCCCATACAACCTCCCCTACCCGTATGCGTCTACAGTACCCAATATCTCGATGCCACTCCAAGTACTCCAACTCCCCCAACACAATGCTCCTATCTCCCTCTTCATTCAAGCGTTTATAGAAGTAAGACTGCCATCTCTGCCTAATCTGTGCCCCCTCCAAAAAAACTCTACCCTCCTCGTCTTTTATGCACCTCACTTGGTCAAAATCTCGGACCTTCTGCCCCCTCATCTTTGCCAGCATGTACAACTTATTGTCCCCGCCTTTATCCCCAATTTCTTTGTATAAACGACTAAACGACGCGGTCTTAGCCGCAGTAATCGCCAACTTCTCCTCCTTTCTAGCCTTCTTATACCCCTCCCTGTTAGAACTCTTCTACCCTCGTCTATACTCTCTACTAGCTTCAAATATGCCGTTTTCTTGGATTCCACTTTCCCTGAACCTCTTAGTTCCACCACCAATCCCCTTTATGGTCACCAGAAAAACCCTTCGAGACCCCTAACACCTCTCTTGCTGCCTCTCTATTACAATTTTCTGTCATAGACCACATACATCTCGCGTCCCCGCTACTCCTCCATGTCCCCGTAATCAACAACTTCTTCCCCAACTCCTAGGCCTTGTCCTTAGTCAATGCACCCCACCTGACCCTAGGCAAGATTAACTCAACTATTCTAATTAAAGCATGTCGTGAGTCTAAGTCAACCCGAACCTAATCATGAATTCTAGCATATGCACGAACACTCGTCACCTTATACGTGCGTACCCCCACAACATATAGCACTAGATAAATATAACACCTATGGGATAAATTCCTCCTAACAAGGTTAGATAGGAGACTTACCTCGCTCCGAAATTTCATAACAGGCTCCAACGCCTCTTTAACACATCTAACCGAAGCCCATCGATCCGAAACTAACCAAACAATATGAAAAACAATCAAAGTATACTCCAATACTCATAACTTAAAAATTTATAACAATTCTCAACTCCGCTCGAAAAGTCAACAAAGTCAACCCTCAAGCCCACATGCCCGAATTCTGAAAATTCTCGAAGATAACTACTTCCAATAACACCACAAACTCAAATATATAATTTATTCCTATTTCCATGTCCAATTCGTGGTCAAAATCTAATCACACTTTCTAGGTTTTTCTTCATAAATCCCAAAATTTCTATAGATTTTCATGTTTAAATCCATAATAAACCATGTATTTAACTTACAACAAGCAGGAATCACTTACCTCATAATAGATGATGGAAATGGTACTCCCGATTTAAAACAAGTCTGCCCAGGCCCGACCTTCTTTGCATTTGCGTGCCCCTAGTTGCGTTCGCGAAGGCCTAACAATCTACTGCTTTGCGTTCACGTCCAATCAATCACGTTCATGATGACCAACTCGCCCCCAACCTAAAACACATCCTTTGCGTCCGCGGTTTCCTCTCCGCATTCTGATCAAGGCCAACCCTGTACTACTACGAAGTAGCAAGAGAGGTCGAAACAGCTTTTACCCGAGAAGGTCGGGATCGATTTCCACAAGGAGCTAGAGATTGGAGTTGAGTTTCTACCTAAATTGGTGTTGCATAATTGTTCCTAATTGCACTTCTAAACATTGTTGGTTTTGATTTTACTTCTAATTTTATACTACTAAGATGCTAAATTAGGCTACGTAAAGCTAGGATTAAACTATTGGAAGTTGTTCAAATAGATAAAAGGCATTAGGGTAGTGACTTGCTCCTAGGAGGTTAATTGACGGATTCTTGAGTCTAAGGCTAGATTATCATATTTGGGGAGTATGATATAACCATTGCACGATTCTACTCACTCTTTACCTCTCGGTAGTTCGAGTGATTTTGCTCGAATTGACTTTCTCAAGACCAATTGGTATGATAATTTGTGCAAGCAATTGAGGTTCAAGTCGGGTGTTACTATCTCTAGGTTTAACCCTTTAATTAGGGCTATCAATCTCTTGAATACGCCCCAATTCCTTGTTGGACCAATTTTATAGACTTAGGCTCTCTTTCTCAAGAAGAGCCAAAGTCAACTAGGCATAAACTAGTGTTTGTAACCACTAATTCAACATTAAAACCCTAAATCATCTCAAATATCAAACACCCATAGACAATCAAGCATTAAAACACAAGACCTATCAATTACCCACACTAGGTTTGAGCCACAACCCTAGCTAATGGGTCTAGCCACTCATGATTATAGAAGAAAATAAGGAAATAGATGAAGAAAAGCCCATAATAATTAATTACTTGATAAAACTTAAAGATTCAATGATGAAACTAAGCTAAAATTACTCAAAATGGAAAAGAAGAAGTGTTCACGAGCACAGCTCTGTCTTAAAATGCAACTCATGACCTAAAAATGGGAAAATAAACTATTTATACTAGGCTGAAAATTCTCGACAAAAATACCCCTACGGGGCTAGTGCGGCTGCACTAAGGCTCTTGGCTGACTAATCTGCTTTCTGAAGTTGGCCACCGCGGACCACACAAAATGCACCACGACTGCGGTGGCTTCTATTGCGGTCCGCACAAAATGGACCACGGACCGCATTGGGCATCATCCTCCAACTTGGCAACTCTCTGATCTTGAGCTCTGCGGACCGCACAAAGTCGAGTACGGCCGCAATGGAATGCGGTCCGCACAAAATACTTTGTGGCCACATTGCTTGGTTGCCTGAAATGCCTGCTCTATGAACTTCATCCTTGCGGACCGCACAGAATGGTGTGCGGCCGCACTGGCCCTGTTTAACTGAGCTTTGCCTTGGTCTTGGTACTTGTGCATGTTTCACTCCTTTTTGAGCTGGTTTTTGACAAATTGCCACCTTGTTGATCAAACCCTGCAATAAAGTACAACATGTGAGCCTTTGGGACTATTTTGTACACATTTTTAATTAACACTTTAGCAAGAAGGAGTGTAAAATGCATCATAATCCCTTGTTATCAACTCCCCCAAACTTAAGCTTTTGCTTGTCCTCAAGCAAACAAAATAAGACACACCCCTTAAGAGTCAATTCAAGAAAATTCAGCCGACCTAAAGTGGCCTTATCTAGCATCAATTGGGACTAACAATTGCCCTCAATTCAAATGAATCATTAACAACATTCACTCTTTTAAACACCACGGGTTTAGTGCGACACAAGAGCATCAAGCAAACCTCTTAAGGATAGTGGAACCCCTCCCTGTTTGACTCAACACATTAAAGGAACTCTTTCTATTACTTTGGTTATTGTGGAACCCAAACTCAAACATCCTCGACTCTCCCTAAGCAAACCTCACCTTTAAGATAGTGGCACGCAGAACGAGGTTAATGGAAATACACTCATCTCTCTCAAGGAAAAGTCACAAGTCCGGCTCTAAGTACCATATGCTTGCCCCTTATGTGAGTCACCACTAATGTAAGTTTCATTCAACTCAAGATCATATAGGACCTTTGTGGAGATATAGTGAAGGCTTTTGGTTCAGGGTAGGAAATGTTTGGTCTAAGCAGGTTCCATCTTCCCTTTAGCACTTCTTTTTCTTCATTTTAGCACGCATTCACTTGACTTTTTAAGTCATTTCACTTCTTTCTAAGGGGTTAGAGAGACACACTGTCGCTCTTTCTTGTTCATTTCAAATCTTTTTCTCCTTCCTCAACTTTCCACACCTTTCATTCTTTGCTTTTATTGAATCCCTTTATTCATTTCTACATTGAATATTCTTTTTGTCTTTTTTGCTTTTCTTTCTTTTTCACTGCCTTTCCTTTTCTTCATTTTGTACCTTTTTACCACTTTGTTGAAATCCTCATCTCTCCCCCAAACTTATACTTTTGCCATGTGCTAAGGAACGATCGGAGTGCCGAGAGAGGGTATCTTTAGAATGGGTAAAGGCTTGCATCATGGTTCTTGAAGGAAAAGAGGTCTAAGGCTCAAAAGGGTTGACTAGGGATTTTATCATTGGTAAGCTATGGAAGTGTTCAAGATGTTATTTGGATCAAGGAGAGCCTATAATCACATCTCAAGTCAAATTACACTTAGGATTTCGCCTCGATAAACATTCAGCGCAAGTTGTAGACCAAGGGCTCGGGACTTGGATTTGCAATTCAATTTCTCACCACACAAGCTATGTGATCGCTAAAGACACAGATTCGGGGGCCCACAACAACCTTAGATAAGATTTGAGCACACAATGGTCCCGAAAAACCACTTGATGATTATCGGCCAACACAAGAGTCTCAAGGTCACAACTTTCACCATCATATACACAACAATTTGTTTTTGACCATAGGATCAAAGGCAAATGCGTTAGGCCCAAGTGAAGCTTTGATTGAGGCACCCTTACCAACTAACTACTAAAGAGCAAAAAGAAAAACAGACTCAAACCCCTAAGAAGGTTGTCATGCCATCCATCATCGAGAAGAGTCACCCGGTTCACACAAATTCCACCGTTGGAAAGAACCGTGGCACTAAGAAAGCCAAATGCTTATTGCAAAAACTCAAAACAAGAAGCTACGAACATAAAATAAGAAGCTAATAAAAGAAAAAATGCGGAAAAGTAAAATGAATATGTACAAGAGAGGATTTAATCGAATATACAATAGGGGAGATGAATATATACATAAGAACGTAACTTTTATATACAGACCCAAGGTAAAAAAGTACGAAAAATGTAATGAAATGCTGAAATTATATACATACCAA